AGTACTTGTACCCAAACTGATAGGATCTGTATCTGGCAGAATGCCAAGAAAAATCCATTCATGCTGAAGGGGAAATATGTCAGAGTTCGTTATTGCGAGGCAGGTGGAGTCGTGACAGCCTTTGAAAAAAAATTGCAGAAAAGGCAGGGGTGGGGAGAGGATGGGTCCTGGAAAATTCATCGAATGGCAGAGGAGAGACTATTCAAACTGATGAGAATGTTGATTTGAAAGGGGGAAGAATGTTATTGTTCTGAGATCTCGTTTAAAGTGAATAAGGCATGTAGGTCTGTTCAAGGGAAAGAATGTAAACAAAATAACGTTCGCAAAAAGCAACTCAATGGTCTTTTGTGTGGGAACAGCACCAGTCTATGCACAATGACAAGGCCATCCAAACTATGTACAATGACCATCATAGGAAATATTTTACTTTTAGTGCACCTAAACGCCGCATGGGTAGAAACGCCGCACCTGCTGAAAATTTAAGTTTTAAACACGTAAATGCCGTGGCGTTTCTTCCGGAAATTACGGTATTTGAATTCATATTTTGATATTTATCAGCATTTTCTATGCATCTTGTTGTTTATTTTCTGCCTCTTTCAAGCATGCCTTTGTGGTGTAAAAGTTAGCACACTCGCAGCATATTGAAGAAGTCCAGGTTTGAGTCCCGCCGGGGGGCGTTCTCATTTTTCATGTCTCCTGCTTCAAAATAACCTAATGACTTTACAGTGGTGCTTGAACTAAAAGGTGGTGGGTGATGATTCTTCACCACCAGGATTTTGCAGTTGGGGGTCCCTTAATCTCCAGTCGCTCTTTAAAAGGAGGAGTATTTTCTCCCTCCTTTCTGCATGCCTTTGTTGTGTAACAGTTAGCACACTTGACACATATTCGAGAGGTCCGGGTTCGAGTCCTGGTGAGGACTTTTCTCATTTTTCACATCTCCAGCATCAAAATAACCTAATGACTCTACAATTTTATAAAGCATGTCAAAAATAATTTAAATCTAATGAAATGTATATATAATTAAAGTTTTGGAAAGAAGGGGGTGATGTAACAGTGGTGAAAGGTATGCATGGAGTAAAATAGATTAAAAGCACTGATCTAAAAGCAATAAAATTTTGAAGTAGAAAGTCATGCCCAAACTCTGAGATAATATTGCAATTTGAAACTGTTAACACAAGTTAAAGAAAGCACTAAGTAAAATTTATGATAAAAAGTTGCATTTCTTTTTCAATCCAAGGTATAATACAGTATTAATTATCTTACAGAAACTTATATATCTTACAGAAATTTTATAAAAAATGCTTTGCATATAATAAAGTGCAATGTGTAATGCATTATCCGAAGATGTTTTAGTGTGTAACAAAATGTCCTGTGCTTGATTTTAGGAACGTTGTTGACATCTTATGAAATATTTTATGGGACTCCTCTATGTTGCTATATGAAAGTACATTAATGTTCAAAAACTAGTAAGATTTGAAATTTTTTGTCATCTGTTGATTACTATGATATTCGAATTCATCAAAGAAAAGGAGAGGCATAATGGGCCATTTTCAGTATTCTGTGGGCATTTTTTTAACTTATTTCTGAAGGTCTGTGTGTTATTTTTTCTTTAATGCAAAACTATTTAAAATTCAGAACTTTCCTGTTTGCTTCTCCGTGTAACATGTCAGTTAATTCAGCATAAGTTCAGCATAAGTTAAATGACCTTTTCTAATATGCTTGTTTCTCTTTATATTCAAATTTACAAGTAATATCTAGCAGAAATTCCCCCCACTTTTTTTTTTTTTCTCTCTTGTTTGTGTGTGTGTGTAAAACTAAACCTTAGTTTGGCGTTAAATAAAAAGTCTAGTCTATTCCAAAGGTATTTTTATCTGTTTTCAGTAGAAGAGAGATCAAATCATGCACTCTTTTAAAACACATTTAGCATGTAAAGATAGTTTTTTTTTTTTTTTTTTTTTTTTTTTTTTTTTTTTTTTCTCAACTAAAAAACTGAGAATGTAAAAAATCAGTGATACTGGGATTTGAACTGTGGATGTGCTATCAATTTCACCATGAGAGTGTTCATAAGGAATAGCAATAATTATATTCTTATAAGCCTTTTCATTTGAAAACCCTACCAAATTAAGGGTAAGTCATGTATACTAGGAAATTTGAGATGACATGTTTCTTTAAAATCTTTCACTTGAAAATGTCTCTAAAGAATTCAGAGTAGATTTTCATCAACAAGTCTTATTGAATTATGGTATATGTAAGGGATATACTTAATAAGTTTATTCCTTGTTTATTACCTTAAAGTTGAAGTTACTTAAGTATTAGTGCAATCACAGTAGGAGAAGTTCCCAAATTTTTAGAGTGTGCTGAACTCTGACAACTACCATATTTTCTTGAAAATAAAACCAAGAAAGAAGACACATTCAAGAAATATTCGTTAACAAAAATCATTTATTTTAATACACTCATGTCCTCTTCTGGAACATCGTCATAAAGCTTCACATCACAAGTTCTGGCTTGAATTTTTTACTTCATTTCCTCTAAGACCCTAGTCCCTAGCCTCTCATCTTAAGCAACAGAGCTCTTCTCAACTGAGCTCTTGTCCATGTAGCCTGCTCACATGACATTGGCAACACAGTTGTCCATTATTTTTTCCCGTGTTTTAAATTACAAATTATTGTAACTTAGGCTTTTTCATTGATTTCTCTCCATTAGATTAGATTTTCAATGTAGTAGGGAAAATGCTTAGATTTTAAAGGTCTTGGATGCAAGGAATTCTGCGTCGAGGAAGAAGGATTTTCCGGTATATGTGGTAGTACTGAGAACAAGCTGAAATTTGTGAGCACTAGGTCTGGCTGTGCTAATGCACAGTGTCTCTAACCAAATTGCTAAATGATATCCTTGGTTGTTCTTGCCATGTGTTTTCTTGCATTGTCATGGAGGTGTAGCACATCCTTGCTTTTAACAAAATCTCTCTCATTCTGCCACAATTCAAGTTGTGGTTAATCTTTGGATTATGGTAACTTGGCGATATTTTGGTGAAAATTTGGTGACCAACCCTGCTACAGCAACCTGCTAGTTTTTTTTTTTTTTTTTTTTTTTTTTTTTTTTTCTGACGCCATTTTGTTTTTACGAAGTAAAGGCTTTTTTTTTTACTCAACATTTTTTTCCAACAATCTGCTAGCCGAATTACGCTTATGCTAGAACTTTTATGAAACAAAAGTGCTTAATGATGACGAAGATTAGCTGCGAAATTGGGAGAAAGTGCAGAATCACCCACTGCTTGCCGCATTTTTAAGAATTGCACATACACGGTATCCATGTACACATCAACCTATTTTCACTTAAAAAAACATACTCTTGTCTTTATCCATGTACACTGCTAAAGTCCTAGCTAGTAACCTTTATCGCCTTACCAAAATGTCGCCAAGCAACCTGTTACCATATTCCAAAGATTAACCCAAGTTGCATTTATTGCAACTACTGCAAGTGCAGGTTGTCATTAATGGTGTGGCTTTGTGGTGGTAGCTTATAATGCACCACTTGGCAACTAGTCATCACAGTTCATGATCTTGTGTGGGTGCAGAAAGAAGCCGCGAGGTGTGTGACAATTGGTGTCTGGTATGCTTGGGTTGTCGTAGTGGATTCATTTTTTGTCACTAGTAAACATTCTTCCAAGTATGGGTAGTATGGGTGGGTGTATTGCAATGCTGAGATAACAGTGCAAGTAGGCTATCATTCATTATTCCATTTTGGCTGCCAATAATGTGTGAAGTACCCACTTGCTCAATTTGCATAGTTTCCCTAAGCAGTGCACGTTGTCTCTTTCTCTGGAAATCTAGAAGTGCTTGGCAAGTTTAACACATGTTTGACTGCTGTCTTTTGTGTCTGTTTCAAGGCCTTGTTTTCCAATATCTGTGGTCATCCATTGTGGGATTCATTACAGAGATTTCCCAACCTGAAAGTCAGGAGCTCTGGGGTGCATTTGTTCTTGGCATCTTTTCCAAATGTGTGACATGTTTGTCGGCTTGCTGACGAGCCTGTTTTGAAGTCACACAACAGACAACAATAATAAGCTACTCTGATAACTCCATTTCTGTTCAACCCTGGATGAGCTATGATTGCTGTGTATGTGTGTGTGTGTGTGGAAGGTGCCAGTCTATATTAATGCAATATTTAGGTCCAGGTCATTGCACAAGTTCAGAAAGAGTAAATTGTGTTTCCAGCTTTCAATACATCTTATATTAAATTATCACAAGCTAGAAAGAGTGAATTTTTATAAAATATGCTGTCAGCTTCAAAAACTATGAATCTCAAATGTTCGTCATATCAGAACCATGAATTTGTGAAATTGTTTTGTAAAAAACATTTTGAGGGATTTGAAACTGTCTCAAAAACTAAGTTATGACTTTTATTCAATAATTTGGGTTGCTTGATTAAATATAATGATCGGAAGCTACTTCTAGAGCTCCAAAGAGCTCTATTTTGAATCTAGGTAAGGCATGAACTTGTGTCCATTGGTCTAAAGGTCTAATTGAACACATGGTGGTTTGGAAATTAGGTTAAAGGAACCTATATTTTATTTGTGAAATATTCTCAATTAACACTAAAATGGATGTAGGTTGAGTCATGCCAATAACTTGAATTATTGAATTGAAGACATGCAAATAATGATGGCAGTGTTAATATATCAGTTTACGGGTATCCATAAAGCTTACTTATTATTGCTGATGCCAGGGCTATGAACAAGCAACAAGAGAAATAGCCCCCCCCCTTTTTAATACACTTTTAGAAAATCTGTAAATGTTTGTTCAGCATCAGAAAAATAAAATAATTTGCATTTAGATGAAAATAGAAAAAGGTACAAATTTTTAATTTTAGTGTGATGTTAATCTGTTAAAAATGTTAAAAGACAAAATTTATAAAAAAAAGAATGTTAGATTCCTTTTTTTTTTTTTTTTTTAACCTTAAGCTATTAAAGAATGTTTTTGTTTATATTTTAATTGCAGAATGTGCACGATGCCAGAATTTTAACTTTGTTCAAAATGATGCTGCTGTGCCTGGAGAGAAACCTGAATATGATGCTAAAATAATGTTTGGCAATTATTCATGCCCTGGAGCAACTGATCCTAAGCATCACACAGAATGCTGTAGTACTCTGGGAATGAGAGGTTGCTGTCCTAAAGCAAGATATTTCTATGAAATTGATAAAACGTAAGTAAAAAGAAACACCCATTTAGATTATATTTATTATTATTATTAGTCTTTGAGATAACATTCTGATTGTATTGAATAATTTTTAAAAAAGAAATAGTTAAATTAGAATGAAGTGAATTAAAATTATGATCCTTTTTGGTTCTCCCCCCTTTTTATGTGTGTTTTTTTTTTTTTTTTTTTTTTTTTTTTTTTTTTTTTTTGTTTAGAAATAGCCATATTTTCTCTGTTGTATGTCTGATGAAAAAATGTAATATTTCTTGAAATTTCTTTTTTTCGTCTGTTAAATAGCTCTTGAATGTGTAGAAAGAAATGAGAAATCATGCTTATTGTTATGCATATAAGAAGCAAAATGATGTATTGAATCTAAATAATAACCAGAAGTTGCTGTTTTTTTTTTTTGTTTTTTTTTTTTTTTTTTTTTTTTTTTCTGTCAGTAAAACTAAAATGCTTTAATTAGCAAATCATGACTTTTTATGATTCTATTATGAAATTATGCTGAGCTTTAGATATTAGAATACTATAATCAAAGAACTTTGTCAAAAACTTCAGTCTTTTATTTTAGTTTGCCATGTCATTTGGCATGCACATAACAGATATTTTGATGTCTGATGTCTTCATTTTTTGTTCTGGAGATAATGATATGCTTGGTCTTGTTGATAATGACATGCTTGGTCTTGTTGGATAATGACATGCTTGGCCTGTTTTAGGCATTGGTTGATATCAGTAACTGCTTGGGGTACCAGTCTTTAAAGACTGCCAACTAAATTATTCTCATAAGTGACATTTAAACAAAGGCATGTATTACTTTGATTTATTGATTCAAAGTTTAATTTGTACATCCCATTCACCGTGTTAATCGCCTAAGGTACTGAGAATACTACAGCTTGTCTTATGTTTGGGGAAGTCTTTCTTATGTCCTAGTGTCAAGTTGGAGTTTTGGAAGCCATATACTTGTTTTGAGTGTGTTAAAGAAATTAAATTCCATGACAATTTAGCATTTTGAATACAATACAAAGTCTTTAATCCGGACTCATCGGGACTTCGGCGATTCTGGATTAGGGGTTTTTCCGGATTATAGATCATCAATTTAAATCTGGTAAGATGGCATGCAGAAATTATAAAATTAAAAATATGAAACCATAATTTCTGAAATAAAGAGCAATTATGATCTAAAGAATACCAAATTTACAAAAAAAAAAAAAAAGAGCTTAATATTTATTTGTTTACTTTATTAAACATTTCTTTCAATGTAAGTTGTTTAAGTTGCTTTGTTTTATGTGCCAATACTTTCTCTTTAATTCTATAAACAGACATAATTTCTTGTTCAGTTACAAAGTTCCTTAGTTCAAGTCCTGTAATTGCTGTACCGAGAATACCGACTAACTTGTCAATCGAAATTTTTTCATTTTCACTAACCTCTCTGTCACTTTTTCATGCCTTTATCCATTTTTTGCAGCAATTCCACTTTTTGTTTGATAGACCTCAAAACATGCTTTAGCTTTGTAGATAGATCCTTTGGCAGTTCCAGAATCGGAAACTCTTTTTGACATAATCAAAAGTTCAAGCTTACTTTTTATAAAATTGCTCTAACAGTCAGCAAAAAATAATAAGCCAGATCCAATTAGAAGATTAAGGAACAATGGAATCTGCAACATTAACTGAAATGGATAATTAGATAATTTTAGCCTAGCTTATACCATCCGTTATACATTAAATGCGCAGAAAGTTTGTAGCTTTGAGGTCCGGATTATAGATCATTCCGGGCATCTTCATATTTTGCTTGTCATTCAGATCTTTTGAATCTAACCTAAAGTGTCATTAAATGTTTTAACTTAAGAAACATTGATTGATAATTCTTCTACCGCTATTAGTTAATTTTTTTAGTTGGTTCCACTAAAATGCTATTATTAAATATGAAAATAAATACAAATAATTAAGAATACATAAATGAAAATGATTCCATTAACTAATTTAGGGGACTGGGTCCAGAAATGTGTATATATATGCATGTATGGATGTGTTCATGTATATATGTACATATGTATTATCTGTGTGTGTATAGGCATGTATGTACATCCAGTCCTTATAACAAGAGAGTACCTAATTTAATAACCTATTAATTTTTTAATTCCCTTGCATTTAGATTCTTTTCAGTTTTACAAAACGAAAACAGGAGTTGCCCTTAAAAAGTCGTTTTTGAGTCTTTCGGTCATATACATTCTGAATATTGTGCATCATAGCCAAAAAGTAGTCATCACTTTTAATATGGATCTATGGCTCGATACAATTCAGTAGCTTTCATATTTGGACATTCGATAAATTGGCAGAAAAAAGAAATGATTAAAACAAAAAAAAAATTTTTTTTGAGTCACACCATCTAAAATAAATATCTTAAATATGAAATACTATGTTTAAATATGTAAATAAATGCAAATAATTAAGAATACAAAAAACAAACTGATTTTAATTTAATAACACATTAAATTTTTAATTCCATTAAATTTCAGTATCTTCATAATTTAATAAAAAGTAACTTCTTAAACTAAAAAAATTCAGTACCTTTCATATTCTAACATAAGCCTTCTAAAAATAAATAAAATGGTAGATCTCATAATACACTATTACCAGGTAATTTTATTAGTATCCGTTCATTATTAATCCAACCATTAAAAACAATTAATAATCCAAACTATTAAAAATGATTTGTTTTAATTATGGCAAAGCATACAATGGCTATCTGCCTAAGGGAAATTGTCTTATATCCATATTATATGCAGAGAAACCACTGGAGAGTCCCATTGAAAAATGGGTGTAAATTGTATTAATGTCAATAGATCTGAATTTCCAGTATCTTCTGTGTGTACACTCAAGTTTTGAATTTTTAATTTTCTGAAGAAAGTATAGCATTCAATGCTTATTCTACGTCTTGAAAAAATTCTAATCCAGTTACTAATTTGAAAATGGTCTGAAAAAATATTTTAAAAAATTATACATTATTCAAGTATATTAGTGCTCTCTGTTCATTCTCAAAATGACTTAAATAAAACTGCAATAAATATACTAATATATGCAATTAAATATAAAACATCCACATTTCTGTGGGAAGAGCCTTTATGATGTTTTATCTCATTTTCCTGGAGTCTCTGAATCCATCTGGCTATTTGTTCTTCAGGAATTTTGAAATTCGATAGCCAGGTTAGGAAAGCATGATCGGTCTGCAACAAGGATTTTCTGCCGTAGAGATATTGAAGGAAATGTTCTATGGCTTTTACGATAGCGAGGAATTCTTTACAGGTGATGCAATAATTCTCTTTTGGTTTGAACAAGCACTATTACTTGCTCCAGTAGTCTATTACTCACTCTTGATCATCAATCATTAGGAAAAGGGCGGGTGTCGCACTTTCGTTGTTCACATCTGTGTCTAATATAAATTGTTTGTCAGTCTGCCGATATGCGTGCATGGGCATAGTTGTTAATGCTGCCTTCAGCTGATTAAAGGATCTTTCGCACTCCTGAGTCCACACAAATTATGTTTAGTCTCTGTTAATTTATGCAGAGGCCTTGCAATGTCAGAGAACCCCTTCGTGAATCTTCCATATTAGGTGCAGAATCCCAGGAAGCTCTAGTTGATGAATAGCCAGGGCATTCCTAGGCCTTAACTGCCAATACCTTCTCTGGATCTGTGCGGACACCTTTAAAAGAGATGACATGCTCCAGATAGGTGATTTCACTGCAGAATATTTATTTGTTTACTTTATTAGACATTGCTTTCAATATAAATTGTTTAATTTGTTTCGTTTTTTGTGCTAATACTTTCTCTTTAATTCTATAGACAGATATAATTTCTTGTTCAGTTATAAAGTTCCACTGTGCAAGTCGTGTAGTTGCTGTGTTGAGAATTTCGATTAACATGTCAGTCGAAATTTTTTTGTTTTTAATAACCTCTCTTTCATTTTCTTCACTATTGTTAGCGGTATTTTCTGGATCTAGAACCATATTACAATTTTCGCCGTCCATTAATTGAATGATGATTGGAGCATTGTCTTCTTAATGAAAAACTTCATTTCATCTTCATTTATTATCGCTTCTCCACTTTTCTTTACAAAAATCCATTAATTGGAAAATTTTACCTGTAGTTTGCAATATCCAAAAACCTTCAAATCATCATCATCATCCTCACCATGAAATATGATAGATGGCTATAAATTATGCTAAGCATATTTTAAAATATCTGGAGGCACATCCTCCCACAATTTTGCGATGCTCCTCACAGTAGATTTTATCCTAAAATATTTCAAAAATTCTTGAATAGTCTTGCCATTATTCAAGAAATTTAACATGGATTTTAAAAATGCTACTTTTATTTGGATTTCAGCGTGTGCACTATTCCGATATCCATAGGCTGAATGATAGAGTTCAGTTTAGAGAAAATAATAACATGGATACATCATTTTTCATTGAAACTTTAAGTGAAATATGAGTCAAACAATCTACAATCAGGACAATTTTTGTGTCAACAGGTAATTTAACAGAATTTAAATTTTGCCGAACCTCAGCTATGAAATAATTTCCAAACCAATCATACATTAACGCTTGTGTCATTCCTCCTTTTTTATTGTATGATATATAACAGGGAAAATCTTTACTCCTTTAAATGCTCAAGGTGGTGAATTTTTTTTCTGATTACAAAAAGTTTACATTCTGTGTTCCTGCAACATTGGCGCATATTAAAATTGTTTGTCTAGCTTTGGAATCTTTAATACCAGTTGAAGCCTTTTCTGTAGAGGTTGCTATGGTATTTCGCAATGCATATTGCCAAAAAAGACAAGTTTCATCAGCGTTGTAAATTTGTCCTGGAGATAAATGTTTCACTATTAATCACTGAGTTCAATAAATTCATATGCAAAATTAGCTCAGCAGCTTCAGCTTGGAGCTTTTTCACCTGAAATTTTTAGTTCATTATACCATGGCAGTTTTAATATTTGGTTAACCAATCTGTGAAATATGTGCACTCAATTTTTGAGTTCATTTCTTCATGAAATATTTTGGCTTGAGCCATTAGCATTGGAACCATCAATGGCATGCTCTCGCTGTCTGACCCATTCAGTCATCACTTTGCATGATCATCACTTTTGACGTAGTGAATAATTTTTTTGTTATGCATTGCGAGTAGGCTGTTGGAATCCAAAAAAAATTCAAAAAGTTCCTTTTTCTGTTATGTCATATACAGTTAACTTTTCCATGCCATACTCCTTGCATTGAGATGGATATACCTATAATCCATTTTTTGCAGCAATTCCACTTTTTGTTTAATGGACATTGAAACGTGCTTTCGCTTTCTAGATCCTCTTGCAACTCCAGAATTAGAAACTCTTTTTGACATAATCAAAGTTCAAACATTAATTTTCAAAAAAATGCTGTAATTATAACAGCCAGTAAAAAGTAATCAGCTGTATCAAATCAGAAAGTTAAGGACCAGCTCAATCTGCTATATTAACTGAAATTCTTTGAATCAGTAAAGTGAGTCTGTGTCCTGAATAAATAAATTCCCACATATACTTAAGCTTACTGAGGGCTGGCACTAGATATTTTGCCACCTGTTGCAGTCTGTGTGGGTCCTAAATTCTACTGCCAAGTGCCTCCTTAAGTTCTAAATTTTTGCTGCCCTTTAATTTTTGGTTCCAGTGTTTTTTGTAAATTTTTAAAATGTTATCATCTCTGAAATTTGTTACTCTGTGCTTCTCTAAATTCCAAAAATTTTGTCTTTTCTGCTGCCCGGTGCGGCCATGTGAGCTCTAGTGCTGGTTCTGGGTTTATGAGAATAAAAAGTCAGTTATTCTTAATTCAGATAGCACTAAATGATTTCAGGTAGCACCTTTGGCCTATGAGTATCATTAACAAAATCTATTTTTAGCATATGGAAAGAAATTTTTGTAAAATTTTTCCTCGTCAGCATTTAGCGCATTTAACTTAAATCTGTGATCATTGCATAGCGTAATATCAACATAAAAGGTTTCTATACTCTTTGTTATTATTACTAATGTAAAAAAAAAAAAATTTTTTTTAGGCATTGCTGCATGAGTCACTCAAGTTGTCATGTGTTGATAAACATGCAGTGATGAAAGTAAAATGTAATAAATATTGATTCACCAGGGATATAAAATATTAGTAGTCACAAAATCAACGATGTTTCTATGTGGAATGTTTCAGTTTGAGATGTAAGTAGATATGCAGCTTCAGAGCCAAATTATTGATCATACAAATTTATGCTAAAATGATTGTTTCAATCAATAATGAGGTATTTTATTTAGTGCCAAAGTGAAATTAAGAATCAGGATTCTCCACATGTTTTATTATGCAGAAAAAAAAAAATCAAATGTGCATATGTAAAGCATAAAAATAATTCCTAAAAAAATTTTTTGTTGGTGCCTTAAACGCTCTGATTTTAGATCATTCTGGATACTAGGATGTCCGGATCTCGGACTTTGTACTGTATATGGATTTAAACTTTTACATTCTCACACTATTGTTTTTCAGGACCAAAAAACAAGTTGTAGAAAATTGGGACAGAGACTGAAAATTCGGGACATATGGGTCACCTTAAATGTTACCGTTTTTATTGTTTCATGCTACAATTTTATATCATATGCAGTGCTCTTTAAAGTTTTCCTTTGTATTTTTGTGTTACAATACAGTCAAAAGTCGTTAATTCGGACTCGTCGGGACTTCGGCGATTCCGGATTATCGATTTTTCCGGATTATAGATCATCAGTTTAAATCTCGTAAGATGGCATGCAGAAATTCTAAAATTAAAAAAAATGATGAAACCGTAATTTATGAAATAAAGAACAATTATGATCTAACGGGTATCAAAATTTGCAAAAAAAAAAAAGCTTAATATTTATTTGTTTACTTTATTAAACATTTCTTTCAATGTAAGTTGTTTAAGTTTTGCTTCGTTTCATGTGATAATACTTTCTCTTTAATTCTATTAAACAGACATAATTTCTTGTTCAGTTACAAAGTTCTGCCGTTCAAGTCCTATAATTGCTGTGTCAAGAACACCGACTAATTTGTCAATCGAAATTTTTTTTGTTTTCAATAACCTCTGTCACTTTTCTTCGCTATCGGAAGCGAATTATAATGACGAGGAACTTGTTTTAAATCATATCAAAGACGGAGCATATCGAGATGAAATACTACATTTGGTAAGGAATTATAAGCCAAATAAAATAAAAACATCTGCGCTGAAGATAAGGATAGTGCTGACAAATCAACTTCCAATTCATTAGGCGCCCGCCGCCGAGCAGCGTGAAATTGATAAACAGATTTCGGATTTCAAAACATACTTTCGCTTTAGATTCTTTACATATTAACAAATATATATCGGAAATTCTATTTGATATAATCGAAAGTTTAAGCTTACTTTTATAAAATTGCTCTTACAGTCTGCACAAAATAATAAGCCGGATGCAATTCGAAAAATTAAGGAACAACGCAATCATCAACATTAACTGAAATAGATAATTAGATAATTTTAGCTATACGTCCATTATACATAAAATGCGCATGCGAAAACGTATTCTGCACCTGCGCACATTCATATGCGCAGTTGTAAAAGGTCTTATGCGCACGCGTGAACGCCTCTGCGCATGTGTCAACGTGGCGCATGCGCAGAAAGTTTTTAGTTTTGATGTCCGGATAATAGATCATTCCGAATTATGGGTGTCCGAATTAACGACTTTTGACTGTATTATGTATCATTTCACACAAATTTCTAAAATTATAATTCACAGTTTCTGAGAAATCCATGATTTCATATATATAAAGAAAATTTTGGACATGAATGTAAATTAGGGAGGGGAAAATTTAAAGCTATGTTTCCTCATTAAAATTAAATTCATTAATAATCATTATTTTTAAGCCATACTTGGTTTATGTCTTATGTTTCCTATTTCAGTTTTAGTTTTATATTTCACCCCATATATAATGGTTGTGTGTTCCACAGAGTTGCTGCTGTTATTGCCATATCTGTGACATCTCTCAGCATTGTAATTACCATTGTAGTTGCTATCTGCTGTTTTTGGTCTCGGTGTCCTTTATATTCAGCATGTAGAACAGAATTTTCTCCAGATATTGCGACTTATGGTAATATGTTTACTTTTAAAATTTGTATTCTAAACATTTTTCTTTCTCTTTTTCTGTGTATGACTATTGAAATTTGTTAACATGTATATTATTAAAATTTTAAAATCTGTACTGATATTATGCCTAATTTTATTAGTGAGTAAGGAAGACAATATTGATATGGATACAATGCCTAGAGAATTATCTGGAAAAGGAAGCAACAAGTTTTCTCCCATTAATATAAGTAATGGCAACTTACCAGTGGGAGGTATGTTCATATATATGTTTATTAAATGATTTAACAGTACTATTGAATGAAAATCTTGCATTTAATTGATATTGACTATTTGCCAACATTGATTGTAATATTCATTAATTTTCAGAATAAATTCAGTTTTAGTTATGCTGAAATATAATTTATTTTTTATACAGACTTATGTTCTTTGAAGAAATGTATTAAAATTAGATTTAATAGAAACTAAAATTAAAATTACTATGCAATTTTTTTTAGAAGAGTAATTATTTTTTATCTTTAATTAGCACAGAAAATGAGGTTCCAGTATTTGAAATCAGTAATTCTGAATTTGAAATCAGTGTTAGTGCTGCTAGGGGTATATGTGCTCAGTCTTTTGCAAAAATTGCAAATACCCTCTCCCCCCCCCCCAAAAAAAAACTAGAAGCTTAGTAACTGCGTGCAAATGTGTTTCCTATGTGCTTTTAAAATTCACCACTTTCAGATGATAATGACTTTTACTACACAATGATATCTTACATTCTGAATGTTTCATGCAACAAATGTCCAGTATAATGAATGTATCGGTTCTTAGCTGAGATAATGTAATAAGATGCAGATAAAGACTTCCTACCTGAACTACGTTATTTTATTGAACTATAAATAATGCTGTCATATTAATATCAAGTCATTTATTTTTTAACTCTAGTAATAAAACTGATTTTCTCATAAAATATTGGATTTCAAAAAGAAATCCGGTGCTACTTTGGTAGACGGTTGCACAGATTTTGGCGATTTTGTTTTGCCGAGCGATACGACTTATGGTAAACCCATTGCTAGACAAGTTGTTTATGGTATCCGATACTTTGTTATCATTTTATTTAAAAAATAATGCATTTTATTATGCATAAATTCCGTGTTTTAAATATTATTTGTGACTTAAATAATAAAAATGAATTTATTTTGCATTTTTATTTGAGATAAAAATTTTATTGTTTATGATATTTTATGGAATTTTATGTTGTGAATGATGTAATGAATGACATCACAAAATATTTTAAAAGTAATTGGTTTTAATATCTATAAATTTAATCTAATGTTTTAAACATTATTTATGGCTGTTAAATATTAAAATACAATTTAATTTTGCATTTTTTTTAAATATGATTTTATTATGAATGATTATTTAAATAATTTTAATTCTATGCATGATGTAATCAGCTCCCTGATTGGTTACTGAATATTTGTGCATTACCGCGCCAATTTAAAATTTTATTGTTCATCTCTTCGAATTCCTCACGTTTCATAGCGAATGGATGTGTCCGTTTCGAACATGAATGTTGTTGTTGGTAACTAATAAGAATTATTGGTATCAGAATAAAAAAATTGCTGTTTGAGACCTTATTTTGGCGAACCTTGCTTTCTCTCCCCCCTGCCCCCCCTTTTTTTTTTGTGTGTGTGTGTGTGTGTGTGTGTGTGTTTCTTATCAATATATGACAGGTTAAAAAAGGTAAATACATAATTTTCTTTTCTTTACTTCATAATTGTATACTTCAATTTTTATTAAAAAAAAATTAATACAATGTTTTCAAAAATTCCTGAGATATTTATTGCCGCCCATATGTTTTAATGTTAAATAATTAAATCCTATAAAACTTATTTTTTAAAATATTTAAGTAATATTTTAATCCAATTAAATGTTGTGCAATGTTTTTATAGCAGTGTTTTTATTCGTTATATGTAAGTAATAATTTAACCTTACTTTAGCATTTTATAGTCTTAATAAATGTATTTATTTATATTTGCCAGCCATCTTAAAAAACAACATTTTCAACAAACAATTAATCCATTATTTTTAACGATATTTATTTTTTTTTTAAGGTTTTGAATACTTTACTATATGCGTAAAATACGTAAAAACAGCATTTTTCAAAATGGCTGACGACTGTAAAAACTGCGCCAATGTAAATCGCCAAAAATCCGTGCAACCGTCTACCAAAGTAGTACAGTCAAAAGTCGTTAATCCGGACTCGTCGGGACTTCGGCGATTCCGGATTATCGATTTTTCTGGATTATAGAACATCAGTTTAAATCTGGTAAGATAGCATGCAGAAATTATAAAATTAAAAATATGAAACCATAATTTATGAAATAAAGAATAATTATGATCTAAAGGGTATCAAAATTTACAAAAAGAAAAAGCTTAATATTTATTTGTTTACTTTATTAAACATTTCTTTCAATGTAGGTTGTTTAAGTTGCTTCGTTTCATGTGATAATACTTTCTGTTTAATTCTATTAAACAAACATAATTTCTTGTTTAGTTACAAAGTTCCTTAGTTCAAGTCCTATAATTGCTGAGTTCAGAATACCGACTAATTTGTCAATCAAAATCTTTTCGTTTTCAATAACCTCTGCATCACTTTCTTCACTATCGGAAGTGAATTATAATGACGAGGAACTTGATTTAAATCATGTCAAAGACGGAGTACATCGAGATGAAATACTACATTTAGTAAGGAATTATAAGCCAAATAAAATAAAAACATCTGCTCTGAAGATATGGATAGTGCTGACAGATCAACTTCCAATTCATTGTGCACTGCGTCGTTTCCCTTCCCCCGCAGAGCAGCGTGAAATTCATAAACATATTTCAGAATGATTAGATCATCAAAGATATGCCTTTATCCATTTTTTTGCAGCAATTCCACTTTCCGTTTAATGGACTTCGAAACATACTTTCGCTTTGTAAATCCTTTACATATTAGTAAATATATATCGGAAATTCTATTTGACATAATCGAAAGTTCAAGCTTACTTTTATAAAATTGCTATAACAGTCTGCAAAAAATAATAAGCCGGATCCAATTCGAAGATTAAGGAACAACACAGTCTGCAACATTAACTGAATTAGATAATTTTAGCTTAACTTATACCGTCCGTTATACATTAAACGTGCGTGCATAAACGTATTATGCACATGCGCACACGCATATTCGCAGCCGTAAAGTTCTTACGCTCACGCGTAAACGCCTTTGACACATGCGCAGGAAGTTTATAGCTTTGAGGTCCGAATTAACGACTTTTGACTGTACCAGAAATCCAATATGAAAACTGTTGTCACAAAAGTATAATATAATTATATGCAACATGAACATTATAGTTATTAAAATATTTATGGGCTAATTTTGAATTATTTACATTTTATGCCAGTTAATTTACTTCCATGCCAGTAATGAAAATTAAGTTAGAAATGACCAAGTAATATTGCCTATTCTGAAAACAATAATAAAATTAAAATATAAGCCTAAAATACTAATTCAGAAGTCAAACAACAAAAATCAGCATTATTTTCAAAATTTTCACAGGACTAGTTTCGATGGTTTTACCGAACCACCATCCTCAGCTGCAAAACTGCAAATGAATAAGATAAGAAATAATGATTAGTTAAGATAAGAAAGCCTGGACAAGAATAAGCAAGTGATGCCATTTGTTGATGAAACCAGAACTAAAACATAATTTCTTTAAAGGCCGAAGGCAAAGATCGAGTGGAATTAGGATCGTTAACTAGAACAGAAAGATTTTTTTGAATGTGAAATGCCTCTAGAAAATCCAGTTCTCCAATGGAAGATGTTTTTTGAATAATTTTGGCAGCAGAAAAATTGAAAGTGTGATTTTCGGACCAACAATGTTGAGCAACAGACGACTTCTGTGTTTCCTTTTTTCTAACATATGCCTCATGTTCTGTGACGTGAAATTTTAAGGCTCTCTTAGTTTGGCCTATGTAAATTAAACCACACTGCCAAGGATTCCTAGAAATAACCTAGGTATTCATATCTGGAAGGGGATCCTTGAGTAGGGAACTCGGAATTTTATTGATGGGAGAATAAACAACCTGAAAGTTAAATTTCTGCAAAATAAATGTGCAACTTTATAGCTAATTGATGGAAAGAAGGGAATGACAACAGAATTCTTATAAACAGAGTGCAAAAAGGCACACCAAAAGGCACACTCGTAAAACAAGAGAGTTGTTTTACGAGTGTGCCTTTTGGTGTGTTGAAAATAAGAATTTTTTAACTGCTTGATTAATAATGTTGGGTGAAAAGCCCCTGTCAATAGCTATTGCTTTTAAATAATTTAGTTCTTCATCAAGGGAAAGTTTGGAGGAGCAAACTTGAAGAGCACAGGAAAATATAGGAATAAAATGAAGCTAACTTTTTGTAGTCGGATGACATGATTTGAAAGTGTGGTTTAAGGCAAACCGATGAAGGTTTATTACGGTAAACCGTAGTACTGAAGTTGTATGTGTTACGTGTATGACCAGAATGTCGAGAAACAGAAGAGAATTGCAAGTCTCAAGTTCAAAAGTGAACTGAATAGCAGGATAAATAGTATTCATTATTGAAAGAACTTTATTTAAATCATCTTTATTACCTTCAAATAGGGTAAACGCATCATGTACGTAGCGGAACCATACCGGGAAGTTTAAAGTTTCAAACAATTTTGATTCATAATAATGCATGTAGATATCAGCCAGGATGGAACTGATGGGGCTTCCCATGGCTAATCCCTCAGTTTGCTTGTAATATTTATTTTGGAAAACAAAATGTGTTTGTTTCAAACAGAGTTGAATGAGAGAAATTAGCTCATCAATTTCGATGCAAGAGAAATGAAATTCGCGAAGTTCTGGTTTCTAGACATCTTAATGCACCCTCCACTGAAACATTGGTGAATAATGATTTTACATCAAAAGCAACCATGAGTAAATTTCTAGGAGAAATGTTTTGAACCTTTTTTACAAACTCTATTGAATTTTTATGGGTGTAAATGTTATTGTCTAATAGAGTTGAAAATCTAGAAACTAAATATTTAGCTAATGGATACGAGGCAGTACCTAAATTTGATACAATAAGGCAAAAATAAATACCGTTTTTATGAATTTTGGGAAGAGCATATAATCTGACACAATTCGCAACAGATGGGATAAGTGAATGTTTTAAGTTGCTTGAAATGATTTGTGAAGATTTGATCGCAGT